TAAAAACACATCACACTATGAAAATCCTCATGTTGTCAATAGAGACCATAAACAAACATCTAACGGGTATTACAAAGGAAAAGAACAAAGTATTTTTATTTTGTCAATTTTAATTTAATCCTTAATATGATATATTCTTGTAAGAATTATGTCAATATTGTTTTGACTTTTGAAATAGTTATTTCATAATTCGTATTCGTTTAAAATGTTTATAGATTAAAGGTTAATATTAATTAATACCTATATATAGGTCATCTTTGATTACATTAATCTAAATATGCAATTTAACCCAAATAATTAATTCGTCGACTCGTTTTGGCCACTTTATCGAGGACACACTAAAAACGGGATCTGACCTTATTCGAAATGCTTGCAAATTATCATTAATATGAGGGTAAAGATGAGGGTTTACAGAATAGAGGATGATGGGCAAAAAATATAAAGAATAGAGAAAAATGGACTAAAAAAATAAAGAATAGAGAATAATTGGGTGCTAAAATATAAAAAATAGAGAATAATGAGCAAAACGTATAAAGAATAGAGAAAAATAGCCTAGAAAATTAAAGAATACAGAACTGCAGGATCCCCAAACAAGACCCTTTAATATCGTCAAAAAAAAAAAAATAATACGGGAAATGCGTGTCGAATCCAGATCCTGCGAATTTCGGGCCGCGAATTTCTTTATTAAACTAATTAACTTCATTGGTCCTAAAAATGACAAAAAATGGTAACATCGTTTTTACGCGTGTCTTTCGAAAGAACATATAACTGTGTAAAGTTTGTGAACGAACACTGAACATTCTACATTCTAAAAGTGTTCAAAATTAAAGTTTATATAATAGAAAAATAGAATGTTATTGAAAAGAAAATTATGTTTTCATCAAAGTCTAGTACACAATTTTTTATTTTGTTAGTCGGGTTTATTAATTCATTTTAATCTCATTCTAAATTAGTCTTTTTGTTGGAAGATTGAAAGATTTAAATATCAAAAAGTGTATTCACAAAACTCTTTGTCAGTGTTATTGGTATTGAATATGAGAATATTTATCAAAATGAATTACTACTAAGCTGATGGTGTTAAATTTCGTCACTATAGTTCTAGAATGTAATGAATGCATACGTTCTCTTTTATGTAACGGTTAGTCTATGAAAAGGAACTCAACGGTATATACGTCAATCAAACATAATGTACTATGAAACGTAGAAGGCAAATTCAAGCAATTTGATTGGACGAGGAGTTGTAAGTATGTGCTAAATTCGAGAGCCAGTTAGTGACCGAAAATATATCAGAGAACAAATAAATTGAATTCAATTAACATAAGTGTTATAAATAAATCATTTTATCGTTACCATAGGTCATTTCTGATGATGCATTATTCTATTATAAAAAAAAAACAGTAGAAATAATGCATATTTACACTTTCTTTTATGTGAGTAGTATAGAAATTGTTGTTTTATTGGTACCAGAGAACATCTTTGAAATCCCTAGCATACGTATTTTATAAATTTTTTCTTCAACTTCAAAATTCTGGTTCAGACATTGTCAACTGATATGTATACGCGTAGTAATTGTATGAAATTTATTGGAACTATAAATGAACACAGAATTTCATTGATAGACTGCTTAGTTATGAATTGTCATTGGTCTTATGTTGAACCACTGCAGAGAAATATAACACAATGTCTCTAGTTAAAACTCATTTCATTTTATCGAAATTTTTTCCTCAGTATGCACGTGTAATTCATATTTACTTTCAACTGGGATAATTATCCTTTTTAAAACCTTTTATGCAATATTTGTAAGTTATTTAAGACGGCGTGCATATAACTGAGTCTACAAACGTAGTTCGTCTTCAAAATACTGAAATCATTTACGACGTCGACATGTTTTCCTCAGAAAACAAACGCGTAACAAAAACACTGGACACTAAGTTTATCACATAACTTTAAACATAAACGTTAAACATAAACGTTAAACATATTTCTTTTTTTTCGAACAACAAAGTGCAGCAAATACACATTCCGGAAATATAAATAAATATATGCTAAGAGCAGTCTAACGGAAATAATAAGCGACTATGTCGTGGACCCTATTCAGAAAATAGCGTTAAAACGTCATCTCTTTAAATCGTAACATAATAGCTGGACATTTAACATTTTCGGGTGTTCAGCCTGGACTATCGAATCATTCAGATTTTTCAGATTTTTTTAAACCTCTTGTTATGCACATATGGGATATCAAGATATTTCGAAATTAAAAAATAGCAATTACATATTTTTCTTACCGATTCTTACATTTTCGAATATAAATCCTTCCAAATTACTACTTCTTACACATAAAGAACTACATTCAAAACTCATCTTCCAAGGCCGTTTTTGAATTTTGTTGCATTGAATTTCGTCTGACGTTATAGTCCGAATCCGAAAAATTCTATTATAAGAAAATGCGGGAAAATATGTTGAATTTGTATAAATTTTAGGTCAAAAACTCTATTTTATGCTTATTCAATGTTACAAGTTTCACCTATTTTTGCCGTTTTCTCTATGGTGGTTTCATACTTTATAGATTTAATTTTGATAACCTTACTAGTAATGTGGATTTTAATGGCTAGCATTCAATATTTTATCATAAAAAAAACTTCCTATTCAAAAGATATTTTAAACACGGTTGTATAAAAATACTTTTAAAAGAGCATTTACAGTTGCCGTCAACTTTGTGCACGCCGTCAAAGCAATTCAATTGTCAAAGTATTTCTATTCCTTATGTAAGATTAATTTATAGTTTTATACAAACGTGTCTTAAATAATCTGTCATCCATTATCTTCTTTGTTAATCGCTGAAAAACTGTATATTTGTTTAATAGCCTTTCAATAATCTCGTATCTATTATGGAATTTTTACCTAGCAAAATTCTGAATTCAATCATGTTTTATGAATTCATTCGAACTGACAACATCCACCTTATTTGTCAAATTACACGTTTTTCATTCATGAAATCCTTAAATCGTTTACTGTTGCATTTGATAAATGTCACTGAATGTTAAGCCATCAACAATCATTTGTTGCATTGAACTTGTGTCTAATACTACCAGTGAATTTAAACGTCATAGTGCTCTCAGCCAAGTGACTAGGTCTAAATCGTTGTCTATCGTTGGCATTACCAGTTTTTGCAACTGGTTGTGTTACATCTCGCTATTATCGTCATTCAAGGTACCAGTCTTCCGGTTACAAAAAGGCGTCATTACATTTAGGTGAAATGATAATATTAAATGTATTTAATGAAGTCATGACGTCAAAGAATTTCCCATAATGCAATTATTGCATATAAATAAAAAAAACTACTATACCAATTGAATAAAAAGTATTGCATTCAAATGACATTTTATACCAATTGAATAAAAAATATTGCATTTGAACGAAAATTATACCATTTGAAAGAAAAATTATACCATTTGAATGAAAAATTATACCATCTGAATAAAAAATATTGCATTTAAATGAAAAAATATACCATTCAAATAAAAAAATATTGCATTTAAATGAAGAAGTATACCAATTGAATAAGAAATATTGCATTTAAATGAAAAATATCAAATTTTTGCAACCAATACCATGCCATAAATATCAGCAAAGAAGGTTTAAAGTACAAGCAATGTATTCATAATTTTATGTCAGTAAAATTGCGTACAAATATTTCAAATACTAGTAGTATATTAATCACCTCTCCTTGTGTTTCAGAACAATGGCTGTTGAGTATTTCTGAAGGGGATTTTTTGTCTGAAATATACTGATTAAACACACACATTCATCTCGGGTTCATGAATCTGATTAAAATTCAGATCAATCTTAACTCGCGTCCTCGTATATACGCGGATAACAAAATCGGAAATCTATATTTTAATTAGATTGGGGTTCGTGAGTCTGTTTTGTTGGAACATTTCACTACATAAAGGGAGGCGAAAGATACCCAAGGGATATTTAAAGTCATAAATCGAAAACAAAGTGACAATGCTATGACAAAACGCGAAAAACGACGAAAAGACAAACCACACGTACACAAATCACAACATAGAAAACTGAAGACTGAACAACACGAACCCCACAAAAAACCGGGGTGATCTCGATTAATATACGATTAAACAAGTAGTTCATGTCACTTCGAGCCAAATGGCAGTTCATGGACATAAATAATGCCATTTGTTAAATAAACCCTAGATTTTGTGTTTTATTTGTCTTGATTCATTCTTAGTATATCTTGACGGAAGATGAATGTAATAAATGCACTTGAGAACAAAAGGGATAACGAGTGAGGGATTGAACAAAAAATCCCATGAAGTAGTTTCTAGAAGTTAATTATCCGAGATATAGATGCTGGAATTGTCTTTAGCATCTTGGTTGGTCACGAGTCTTTGAAATGAAATCAACAAAGAAAACTTAAGTAGTTGATCATTCAGCAGAAGCTTAGTTTTAATTATCTAAGAAGACGGGTATATATATATATATATATGCAAATGACCGACGGACGAAGATGAAAATCAAACTATCTCGTTAAATTTTCTGAACAATAAACAATAAACGGGTCCATGATCAATTACCGGCGTCACGTTAAATAGGCAGGACTTTATATAAATAAAATATTCTAGTAAACATATATCAAATTCCCACAACTGTACATATTGACTTATATATTTAACGAAATGATCTTTGTCGTTCAATTTCACCGATTAATTCATTTAAATATAAAGGATAAAAGCAATTTCATATTTGTAAAAAGAATTTAATTTAATCCATGTATAAGACTAATCCTAATCAAGTATATACTTTCACCGTAACAGTTGTCTATGCATGTTGTCAGTGGTGGAAAATGTCCAAATTAGTTTTAGATAAATATTACGCATTTCTTATAATGGTAAGTTATACTTATTTGAGAAATTATATAAGACTTAGAGTTCAATTGTTCAAGAGATGTAATGTGTGGCCAATTTCTCTTGTCGTCAGTGTAGAAAGGCCATTTTGAAAAGGACTAAATTTTAACATCCATATGTTCATTCTGAGGGTCTGGCGAAATTGTGTCATACCTATCTAAAAAATAAAGAAGTTATAAATGCTTACAGATGACAAAAAAAACATCGCAATTTTAAAAGAATGTTCTCAATTTCGAGTTCACTTGTAAATAATAGTCATCAAAATTACAATACACAAGTTTGAACTCAAACTTACCATAAAATATAATAAATAGAAAACGATTAATTTGTTCAATGAAAAACATTTGCAAAAGCGGAGAGTGTAAAGATTAAGAAAATCTTACCAAGTATATGTGTAGGTAAGTTGTAAAATACCGTGTTATTAAACAAAGGGATCAAATTTATTTTGCAGAAAATGGTGACAAAAATCGGCACCCAATTTCGAAGATGAGAATGTATACTGTTCAAATATGTGCGAAGAAATTACATATTTCAATTAGACCAGGTTTATGTTACATTAACAAGTTTTAAGTTCAAACACCGATTTTATTTTAAATGTTTTATGCCTTTTAACGTTTCTTTTGTAGACTGGTTCTCCTTATTTTTATAGTACTCGTATTTATTAGACTAAAAGAAAGGTCATTTCAAACCAAAACAATTAAAGAAGTGGTTCTGGGTGTACTTCAATGAAAAATTCTACAAAAACATGTATTTGCAACACGATGATTTTTTGCGAAACAGTGTGTAAGACTGAATTATGACGATATTGATAATTATGTACAATCAAAAATGGCTTATATGTAAATAATCAATTTTTAGTTTCAGGTTTTGTCACCTCAAGATATTGTCACTGTCTCTGTCACTGAAACAATTTATAGGGGGCAGAAGTAGAGTTATATAACTGCACCTTTATATCTGCACCATTTTTAATGTCATGCATATCTTTTTACAGATTACAGTAGCATAAGAATAAGTCAAGTATCCAATGGCGGAATCAACATCACCATTACCGCCATCTAACAGAAATACAGGACGAGATACAAATCAAGAGTCTGAGATGGATGACCGAGATATATTTGATACTCCTAGGGAGGAAATAGACGAGGGAGACATTATCGAAAGTAAAACAGATGAACAGACAAACGGGAATGACACTTCTCGTTCAAGAACTTCACGAACAAACGGAAATGACACTTCTCGTTCAAGAACTTCACCAACAAACGGGAATGACACTTCTCGTTCAAGAACTTCACCAACAATCGGGAATGACACTTCTCGTTCAAGAACTTCACCAACAAACGGGAATGACACCTCTCGTTCCAGAACTTCACAAACAAACGGAAATGACACTTCTCATTCAAGAACTTCACAAACAAAACCACGGATGATTGATTCAGAAACTGAAGACACCAGTGGAAAAGACACATCACACCGAAACAACTTTGAAAATAAAATTAAAGATGAAAGAAATAATGCCACGGTTCATTCAAAAAAAGAGACAGAGCGAAATAAATATTCAAAGGAAGAATTATTAGATGGAAATAATACAACACTTTCAAACCAGAATAATAAAAAAGAAGAAATTGTGAAATCTGAAGAATATGACGACGAAAACGAGAACGACACGTCACGTTCTGAAAGTTTTGCAAATGTCCAGAAGTTAGAAAAAGAAAAAGAATCAGTTTCAAATGATGGAAACATTAAAAATGACTCCAAGCAACCGACATTTTCCGAAAATCAAAAAGAAAACAAGGACAGCTTAAAGAGTCCTTCACGAGGATCAATAAAGATTAAAAATGTAACTTCATCAGCTAGTGAAAAAAATTCTGACAGTGATAGATATACCGATAGCGAGACGACAGGCGGTAAATCGTCATTAAGTGAGCATACGCCAAGAAGCCAGACAAAAAAGTCGGAAAAGAAACCAAAACGTAGTTTGAAGTCTCCTAAACCTACAAAATCCAAAAGTATTCTGAAAACTGAAGAATCCAAGCCTCATAAACATCTAGCCTTCATGGCATCTTTAGTTGACGATGGAACTTCTCCCCGCCATCCGACAAGAGGCAGTGGTGAAAGTGCTGTCGTTTCATTGCCAGCAATAAACCGACAAAATGTTATAAACAAGGTATACGTGGATGACACAGATAAAATAGTAAACAAATATCCTAAACGTGACAAGGATTTTAAGTTGGAATTTGTATATGACCTAAGGCCAAAATATCCGTCTTGGTATGAACCTGAAAAAAGGTTGAGTCGCCGAGAAGAAAAAGTCTTCAGCGATATTTCTGGCGTATATGCAGATTATAAACAACAGGACGAACGCCATCTGTCGAAGACAAAGACAATGGACGATAGAGTGAAAAAGCTTGAGAAATTAAAGAAAGAGGAACTCAAAGCGAGAAGAAAGAAGAAATTAGCAACAGCTTATGAACAATATGAACAGTTAAAAGAGGTTCGCGAAAAATTCGATATCATGTGTTGGTATCGTAACCAAACGCAATATATTACTCCAAGAGTTTTAGAACATGAAAAATTGAGCCGACATCTCTATGGACTTCCAGAATCTTTAAAAGAACAAGAAAAATTGATAAAAAATCTGAAACGCAAAACAAAGAAACGGCAGAAGAATGGAAATCGAATTAACAGTCATTGATAAATAAATTCAATTCAATTCAGTCTACATGTGTATGAACACAATACTAAGAATGGGAACTGCCATGATTTTGCAAAATACACACTTTTAATTTAATATTCTTTGATATCTATAGTTGTTCTTATATTGGTACATTTTGCATTTATAAGTGGATATTTATATAAATAAGCGGACGTCAAAGGGGACTTGGATTTTGTGTATTGTTAATCTTTTGTAGCTATCTCATTACAAGGAGGGATACGTATTTATACAAACATACAATAATGTTGATCAACTTTTGATTTTAAGCCAAGTGTATTTAAGATCAGCCTGTAAAATTAGGTATCTTATAGGATCGTATACTAAACCAGTGAGGTGAATTAAGTGATCACAGATACCCCTGCCCTTAGTAACTGAGATCATAATTTTGTTTAGTAGTCCAAAACATTCCATCAAAATTTTTATTAATTTCAAAAAGCGGTACCTATTTATCATTTGGAAACCGCAAAATCCTGTCCTCTTTTCCCCGAATGTGACATCGCCGAATAAGACTTATCATCGAGTTTATATTAACATTAGCAACACGACGGGTGCCACACGTGGAGCAGGATCTACTCACTCTTCCGGAGCACCTGCGTTACGCCGGGTTTTCGGTGTGATTCCTTTGGCTCAGTCTTTAGTTTTCTATGTTGTGTTTTGTATAGGTGTTGTTTGTCTATTCAATACAAACATTGGTCGTTTTTCGTTTTAAGTCAACTTTTGAGTTTAAATATCCACATGTCTGCTTCTTTTTTATCATCTGGAAACCGACAAAATTTAGAATCTTTCCAACAATCAAGTATCATAACTATGATATAAAGTGAAAACGACGAAAATAGAACTTAACCTGTCTTTAGTGGTCCAAAAATTCCATTAAAATTTTCAATTTCAAAACACAGTTCTCTAATTATTATCTAGAATTCAAAAGTGTGACAGACGGACATGATGATTCCTATACATCCCGTCTCCGTCGAGCGGGTGTATTAAAAATATGAGACACCATTTTACATTATCATGCACATAAAACAAATTGCTTGCCTTCACATATGACTACACGACCATCGGTGAATTTCTTTAGCCTTCGATACGGGCAAAAGGCTTTATTCTAAATAAGCATTTACATTTTATAACTTTGATCCAAAACTAAAGTTGCAACTCCTACAGTCAATATTAAATCCTAGATGGTTTTGCTTATTATGTTTTTCCACCTTTCCATGGAAAGACCATTTGATTTTTCCGGTTGTTTAGTTTTTTCCGACACTTTTGTTTGTGAAATGCTGCTTTTGTTTCGCTACATGTTGATAAGATATTCGGTATATGATATTGAACAGTTATTGCGTTTATGAAACTCACCGTTTTTAACCGAACAATTTTCCATATTGGAACGAACTTGCGTGGCACTCTCTCTACACGAGTCATCGGACTTAACGTCCTAATTCTGAACGGACGTGGCTGCGTACTTATCCATCCCGCAAAGCAAAACGGATGCATTACTTTAGAAAGGGTTTTACTGCCGGTCGGAAGAGTACAAAACTGACCGTATTTATATTCCCTAGGCACCTTTGGGATAGAAGGAAATAACAAATATATAACAATATAATAAGTACAGAAAATTTCATGAGGAGAGATTCTTAAGAGATCCAAAAAGAAGAGAGTAACTTATGCATGGAATGATAAATGTTAAAAGATCAAAATATTTTGAAATTATCCACTAGCTTTTTTTTTCAGCAAACAAAACTCGCACGAGGAGTCGCTAAATGGATACTCAACGCTATCGTGTAGCAAATCATCCAGCTTAATAAGGGTATATGTAAGTAAAATTTTTGTTTAAAAAAATTTCTGAATCATCGTTTTTATCTGATTTGTCCCATCTCTAAGACATAGACCATTCATCTTTCATGGGTGTTGCTGGATAGAGGGGCATGTTTTTTTCTAGAGACAACCATATATTTTTCAACTCTTGCAATACAAGTTCAAAATTTTTTTATAAATCTATTTTGATTTAAATCAAACATTTTTATTATCACTTCCCTTTTACAACAATAAAAAAGGGGAATAGGATCAGTTTTCCATGAATTTATATCTAAATAGGGTCATTTTGTAAAAGTCCCCCAATCTTTACTAAAACTCATATTATGCGATTCATATGTTTACTATAAGATATTATCAACATCTTAGCGTATTTCCGAATATTTCACTTGAAAGTTATCAATTCATAAAGATGACTCAAAACTTCTTGCTAGATTTTAGAAAAAAATGACAATCATATAAAATTAGTCGAGTCTTTCGGATACACCATGATTTATTTAGGTTAAATTCTTCCTTCTTTGCAAAATTTGAAATTTGGTATAATTCAAAATAAAAATATTATAAACTAATCGAATACGGTTAAAGAGTATGTTATATAGACTTCGAATTCCATGGAGTAGGTATTAAATCCTTTCTGATTTTGTCCCAGTGAGTGAAACAAATTCATGGGAAATTTGCCCTATATCTTTAGAATAAAACTATATAATTGAAAAATAAACCGATGTCCCCCCTCCACCAGAAAACCGGATTTTGCATGCCGAAAGATCCTCATCGCTTCCTTCTTACTGTTTTGTACTAACAATCGATACCAGGCTGTGTATTTTAACAATATAACGTTCAATGTTATTTATGCACGAACAGAGGAATTAAAACAAAAATAATAGCATGAATTCCATACGTGTAAAACTGTGAGTACGTTTATGACTACACAAAAGCGAGATTGAGACGTAAGGGCAGAATGAAATTATATAACTACCCTCTGTTATCTCTTGATTTTGTTGATTATACGTGATTTTAAGACAATTAAAATTTTCGTTAATATTAATTTTAGCAATAAACAAACAAATTATTACTTATATAATTATTAATCAATTAAATGGTAGCTAATCTATCCATTTTCTGCAAAAACGCATACTTTCCACTTATTTCATCTATTTTTGAAAATTTAAGGTAGTTCTATAGGTACCTTAAAGTACTTAAGTATAATCTTATGCGTTTTTTAAAGTTTAAGGGGGTTTATGCATACCACTTAAGTTTTGTGGGCGTGACTTAAACCAACTAAGATTTTACTAAGGAATTACTAAGTTTAAGATTTTTTTATGCATACCAGTTAGGTAAAAAGGGCGGAGTTTCCTTAACTTAAGTGTTTACTAAGGAACATCTTAACTATATTAGTTTTATGCATACGGGCCCTGTAGTATTCACATCGCTTAAAAAACTATCGGATTGATTTCATTCCAGCGCATATAGGGTCAAATATGAATAAAAGGAGATGCGGTGTATACAATAACGTAGGGGTGAAGGTCACCTTTTTTTACTTGTCTACCAGACTATACGGAATACTGAACAGATATATCATGTTAAGGAGGGGTATTTGCGAAAAATACCAGTCGAGAGAATGTTAAATTTCGCGAGGCGAGGGAAATTCATTCTCAAGACTGGTATTTTTCGCAAATACCCCTCAAGAACATGCTATATCTGTTTAATTACACCGAATGCTAACGTACAAAACGCATTGATGATCGTGACATAAAACGCATTGATGATCGTGACATTACAAGCATCCAGTCGGATAGAGTATTTTTTGGCAAATACCACGGTAGAGAGGGTAAAAAAGGCATATCCTTTTTGCATATACCCCGGTGCTGTTTAAAAATGAACGATATTCATTTGATAAAAGTAAATTGGTGAAAAATACACTGGCTATCAACCAATCAAAACCCAGGATTCTTACATAAAGTGTAATTATATAGTATATGTGTTTTCATTTAGATTAATCTTTTGCATAATCTCAGCCCACCGACTGATGAATTTGAGGTCAATTACAGTATTGGGTAGGCGAATTTGGGTATGGAGATGCAAACAGATATTCACAAGACAGCAACCCAAAAACAAAAATAAACAAAAGATATACGGCAACATTGACATTGACATGTGTCTATTCAATATGTCCAACGCTTAAAATTAACCGTGATTTCTGCCGGTTTCTATTCGTTCAATCGTCTTGTAAATCTCTATTTTGACGTTTGGTGTATTTTCTTGGTGAATTGGGTATTTAACCACCAAAAATGAACAAGGTACATGGTTGTATCACTACATGACACCAAATGAACACACGTATTATAAAATGAAAACAACACGTTATGCATTTCATGCGTCCGAAGCGCTTTTCTTGATTTACCTTCATCAGGAACGGTCCAATCCAAATATTTGAAAGCCAAGGACGTATAAGAACCGAAACAGTTGAAAAAATATATGAAAATGTTTGAGTAATCAAGTTCATATGCGGTTAGTGACACTGCCCTATCTTTTTATAATTATTACTTTCTGCGTTTAAGATAATGTTGTGAAACGAATAGCAAAAAACACAAAAAATTGAAAGGGGAAAAAACAAAGCAAAAAAAAAGATAGTTCTTAATAAAATGTCAATTATTATCTGATAGGTATTTGTTAAGTTCATAATATTGTTTAGAACTATCATCAAGTTGGTCACCTTTGTGTCGTCTATGATATACTTATAATATAAAGAATATCTTGATGGAAAAAAATATTTAAGACCCATGCATCTTTGAATGATTTCTCGCTAAACTCCAACTTTTAATTTTGAATGTCTATATGATTTCTCCGTCCCTGACGAGTAAAAAAAACCACTTCTGTCATTGAATAAGAAATTACCCCATACCTACACCCTTATATATACATATACTATATATAAGTAGAAAAATAGAAAAATATGAAAAAATATCAATACCAGTATATCATTTAAACAATGCAATTGTTTTGTTTTTCTACAGAGATTGTCAGCGATTCAATAGTGCAGAGTTGTGCATATATTTACAATATTCTGTGCGTGTTTGTCTAACTGACAATATCCTCTAGTACAAATTTTAGTGACACCGTCATAGAAAAGAATTTAGCACATGCTTCTATTCTGAAATATATGAACTTAATGTGTTTTTTTTTTGTGTTTATTAATTTCTAATAATATGAACGTAATTGTCGCTTTATGAGACTCTGACAGTGATATTGTATTTTCATTTATTCTTACTTTTTCTTTTGTTTTTAACATATACTGTTAAATTATTAAGACAAATTTTAGTGACACCGTCGTAGAAAAGGCTGTAGCAAATGCTTTTATTTTATA